CAGGGAGAGCCACATTTTGAGCCAAGTAAATAGTAAGGAGGTGATTGGGGGACAAATGGAAAAGGGAAAGGGCCCCCCTCTATCACATTATTGTGAGAAATGCCAAAAGGCATTCTCAATTACCCTCCAACCATTGAGCTCGATCCTAGCCTCCATCTTTGAGAGAGAAGCTCTGCAAAATATCATCTCCATTGCTGAAATTTGAGCTCAAGTCAAAGTGGTTCAAAGAATAGGATTAAAGAAGGAAAAAGATAGGAAAAGTGCGAAGGATTAAGGTAATGACCTTATATTGACTATTTCTCTTTTTCTTATCTATCATATGAATTATATATCATATGGAGGACCCCTAGGTTTGTTTTACATGTTTAGAAGTGTAGAATGAGGGGTTGGAAGGTAGTTCTAAGTCTAAGAACGGACTTAGAAGCCAAAGTGACCGGTTCACCAGAAAATAACCTTTTAGGGGTTATTTGTGTTGATATGGATTTTGTGATGATAAAATCTTGATAGGAGTTTGACTAAAGTGTTCCTAATTGTCACCGGAGTTTCGCCGGAGTTTCACCGGAGTTCGTCGGAGTTTTGCCGGGGTGAGGTTAAATAGTGTGAGGTTAAAAGTATCTCCCAAAATACTGCTGGGATAATCACAATTAAAGAAATGCCACTTGAAGTGGCGACTTATATGCATGTACAAAGCCAGGAGGAAGCAGAAGTTGAGTCATGGGTCTCACCACCAAATCAAATATTATGTCTTTTTAAAGTCATAGGTTGTTTTTATATATTCAACATGATATTTGATTTGGTGGTGTGACCCATGACTCAACTTCTCCTTCCTCATGGTTCAACCGTGGTTATCCCAAAATCATATCATGTGATTATCACAACATTATTTTGGGAAATACTTTTAACCCAATACTATTTTCGGAAATGTTTATTTATTTAACAGTATTTTGGGGAAAAACTCCTATTTAAGTCTCAATTGAAAACATTATGAATAAAAAATTGAAATGACAGGCGCTAAATAAATGCAAGGATTTTCTAATTCAACAATGCTTGGGGTACACAAGTTTTACACAACTTGTACACAAAATGTCGGTCACAGACAATTGGTACGGAATTGTCTGTGGACACAACCAAGAGTTGTCTGTGTCCACAGACATTTAGGTTTTTGTAAAAAATAGATTGACAACCGTCTGACACTGACACTACCTTGCAAATCAATCAATATATGTGCAGTGCCTGTGTGCACAGACAATATTTTCATGTTTCACATACAATTATTTGTCTGTGTGCATAGACAATATTTACCACATAGACAATAATTGTGCGTCTCACATACAATAGTTGTCTGTGTGATCAACTTTAGTTGTCGGTGTGATCAATTTCAATTGCATGGGTGAACAAAAAGTTTAATTGTCTATATATATCCAAATGAATGATGTAGTTGTATATGTGATAAATTTACATGTAATTTGAAAAAATAAAAAATTAATAAAATAGATGGAACAAGATGAATAAGCTGATTTTGTGCAAACGTACGTCCTTGGCGCACCTACAAACTTACTCAGCGCACCTCATTTTTCCATTATTGGACAGGTTTGTCCTCCTTTAAATTTGAACAAACTATTCTTCGCCGCAGTGCCGCACAACCCGCAATAATTATATTGTACTCCGTATTGCTTATGAAAGTTGAATCCTAAAGTTTTAATTTAAAAAGCTAATCAGCCCCTAAATTTTATTAAATTTTATTCCGTATCTAACTGTAACACCCTTCTCAGGGTTAAAGGAAACGTTACACTAGCATCCTACTTTTAAAAATAAACTGCAATATAACGGCCGTTTGTTTAAGAAATAACCCTGATAAAAACTCAAATATAACTAAAATATAACTTCAAATAAAACTCAATAATATCTAGTTATCACCGTCAAATGTGATAACCCCCTCGATCCAGGAGTTTATTCAAACTTCAAATCCCCAAATAAATAATAAATAAAAATCCCTTTATTCTAAACATTGAAATACTGAAATAAAGTAATAATAATAACTAGCTAGATGCTGCAAAGGTCGTTCCCGTTAACTCATCTTGGCACGCGTTCCACTCCCTCATCATCTTCCTAGGCCTTGGCCTTACCTTTAGTATTTGTACATGCGAAGAAAGAAAACTGATAAGCTTTATGCTTAGTAAGTCACTATTGATCCACAAAAATATCTGAGAAGTCTATGCTAATTTATCAATAGATAATTTTAGGCTATAAGCATGCGCTAAACAAACAACTAACAAATAGCTTCTCGAATCAATTATGAGAGAGATCCCAAAAGAAAATATTTTCTAAAATAATTTCTCAAAACTACTAGAGAGATCTCGAAAATTTTCTCTCAAAACATTTATGTAAAATTTTCTGAAAGAGATCTCAAAAAACAACTTTCTGTAAAACTTTTTGAAAGGGATCTCATAACTTTCTGTGAAACTCTTTGTGGCTAATTTTAACTGTGGGCCCGTAATATGTACTCAAAGGCGCCAATCCGACAGCTCAGGGGAGCTACCCACTAAACATATCGGACTCTCTGAAACTGATAAATTGATAATCTGGGGGAACTTGTTCCCGAGTACATATCACCTGATCTTTCACTTTAAATATTAGTTCTTTTTTATAGTGACGTTTGGGTAAAAACATAATTAAAATCTTGAAATAAAGTACTGACATAATCTTGACTATGCCAGATAATAAACATAACTTAATACAACAATTGCAATAACTCAACAAATAATTCACCAAGCTCACATAATAGCAAATAGTCTAAAATCGTCTACTAAAAATCAACCAGACTTCTTTCTTTCATTTGATTGAACAAACATGTACATGTGGTAGTGAACTTACCTGATAACAGCTGAACTCAAAATACTCAGATAAATGTGGCACCTCGATAACGTCTTCCGATAAGCTCTTCACTTAAAACTCTTTAAGTAAATATATAGTAGAGTTAGAACTTACTGTAATTTAGCAAGTCTTTAAAAGTAAAGAATATTGCTCTGCTAGAATTCCTATATTGCTTCTTACGGCTCTGGGTGCATAAGATGCTAAGGAAGACTACTTATTTTTATAATAAAAAAACGCAGCTACTGGAAGTATAAACCAGCCGCCAGAACTTTAACAAAGCAACTGCAACAATACTAGTTTGTCCTTATTTGTACTTTCCAAAGCTCAAATTCAATAGCAGGGATTCATAATACCTCAAATTTGTGAGGAATACACGTTTGAGTTGACAGGGAGCAACAAGGATAGGGCTATACTCTATTACGGAATAAAATTCCACTGATTGAGACCTGCTCCTACGATTAACTCCTGAAGTACCAAAATTCAAAAGATAAACTTAAACCAGGAAGAGATCGCATACTTAAACTTAAACCAGGAAGAATTCACAGACTTACCAATTTTGAGGAAGTGATCTAAGGCACTGTTGTAAGAGAAGAAGACTTAGATGGAGAGACCGAACAACAACGCAAGACCTGGGGTTTTCCCTTAAGCCCTTCCGTGGAAATCTATATCTTAGATGCTATGACCGAGACCTCTAGGGCTTTAGTTTTAGAAAATGTTTCTATTAAACCTTAATCGGGCTAAGATTGATTTGGGCTCCTAATATTCTTAAAAAAATCCAACATTAAAATTATTATCTATTTCAAAGTAGACTAATTAAGCTTTAAAACATTACTTATTTCCTTCACTTAAAAATTATTACAGCTTACCGGTCAACGTTACCTGCCAGAACAACATGTGATCACACAATAAATCACATTAGTCATAGAAGAAACTTATTTAACTGACTAAAATAAATATTAATATTGATTAATATAACTAGCTCATAAAAATCGGGGTGTTACACTAACGTTATTTCTAACAAATAATTATCATACTCAAAATGCAACACAGTTTATAAATATGTGTAACATAGTATAATTCTCTCCGGTCAAAAAAACATGCGGAGTAGTATAATTCTCTTACAAGTTTTTACAATTTTTTTTATACAATAGGGAATGAATTTGAAGATTGCTTAGAAAATTGTACTCTTGATTTTCATTCTTACGAGGTATTTACCTATCTCAATTTATATTCATCACTTCATTTGCCCACTATTTGCATTTGGGGTTTTATTTTTTATTTGTTCCATTAAGTTTATCGCATATAATGCTCGATAATATTTAGGTGATCATATATCTTTTTCATTCAATTTTGTATTGAATATTGTCTTTATTCTCTTATTAAATAACTATAATTGACACTTTTTAGGATGTTTTGAATTTGCCTATTTCCAATTCCAGTTCAGATGAAACAAGACGTACATAGACTAGATCAGACCAAATTTTGATAGCCGTATAATAAACGTAGAATATACATTTAACATACCAAAAATTTAAACAGATCATATCAAATCAGATCATTTGTAAAGGGATTATTTAAAAGTTTTTTGTGCTTTGGAACTCGAGAAATTATAACTTCATTAATTTTTTTACTATTATAGTGTACTTATGTCTATTAACAATCTTAAGTGACAAATTAATCATTAAATATTTAAAATAATAGATTTATAACATCACAGTTATTAATACTATTAAATTATATATTATTACATTATAATATATACCTATTAAAATTATTTCTCAAAATATATTTGAAGTATTTTATTTAATTATTATCTAAATAATCGTGTCGTTTTGCTATGAGAACCTTTGAACGGGACGGAGGTAGTAACATTTTATAAAATAAAAAATTATTTGCCACATGGCAACAAGTTATTGGATGAAGAATAAATTTAACATTAATATGGGGTAGGCCGTGTTTTCTAGGAGAAGATCAATTTTGTTTAGTTTTAATTTAATAAAGTTAGAAGGTTAATCTTGTCAAGCCATGGTTACATAAAGTAAAAATGGGGGTGCGCAAAGCAACCCCTGTGCAAATAATATAAAAAAATTGATATAAAAAGATAGAGAAAAAGAGAATGAAGAAGGGATGAGGAGGATGGTCTCTTAATTTTTTTGAGATATTCGAATGGGGGAAAGAGAAGGGAGAGTAGAAAAAGAGAAAGAAGAGGGAGAAAGAAATAGAGATTTTTTTGAGGCGTGTACCCTTTGTAGGCTTAACATTTTGCTTTCTCATTTATCTGTTCCATTTATTGAGGTACCTGGCATGAACAGTCACTGGCTGTTTTCCCCTTCAAATTTCAGCATTACTCTTCAGTCTTCACCACATATCTTCACATACCCATCTCTTCACGACAAATGATGAAACCCCAACTGCATCTGCATTTCCATCCCTTCCGCGCCATCATATTAGCCCTACTTTTCTTGAATTCCAGGATGAGAATCTTCCATGGAGAGGCTTCAGAAACAATCGGACTGAATCCGGTGAAAGGCAGCAACTTTGATGTGATGATGAAAAGGGGTTGTGCTGGAATGACCAGCGAGTGCCCTTCCATGGCTTTGGTAGAGGAGGAGGAAGAAGAAGAGATGAATTCTGAGAGCAATAGGAGGGCTTTGCTGATGCGTAAGAAGTACATTAGCTATGAAACTCTAAGAAGGGATATGGTGCCTTGTGATATACCTGGTGCATCCTATTACTACTGCAAGGGTCCTGCTAAAGCGAACTCCTACAACAGAGGCTGTGAGATCATCACAAGATGTGCCAGAGAGGTCAATGGCATCCATTCTTGAGCAGCTGTGTTGTAAAGAAATGAAATTGGTAAAGTTTTTGGCTTCTTTTCTTGATTTATTGTATTTGTATATAAGAAGATCAATGGGTAAATTTTCTATTCACCTATTATTTCATCTTACAACCCTCAAATAGTCAAATGTAAGAATAGGTACTTTCCACTTTCCAGGTAGTAATATATCGAGAGTTAATGATAATAATGAAACTGTCATAAAATCGAGCCAAAGATTGAGTTAGAGACCCCCTTGCTGAATAGGCTGAGGTAACATTATTTCAATATTTCTAATATGATTCTAATTGGACAGTTTTAGTGTAATTCACTAAACAAACTAAAAGAAAGTACTTCGAATTCATTTCACTAGTAAAGCCAATATGAATTCAAAAACTGTCATGCTTATTCGTGAACAGCTTAATGTACAGGGCAATTATCAAGTAACTTCGAATGAATGAACAAAAGCAGCTACTTCTTTCTTGAAACAGAACATTCTTTTGATGTTAATATTTATACTGGAGAACCCGGGGTTAACGCCTTGCTTTCGGTCCCCAAAAAGTAATTACATGATACCTTGTTACATTTGCTTTTGATTCGATTGAGTAATATTAATTTTTAGATGGATGTTTAAAATCCTACTGAGTAAAATTCTATGAGTAAAATTCTATGAGTAATATTATAGAAGCTGGTAAAATAAATATTATTGCATTAAAGAAGAAAAATGTGTTGTTTTCACAATACTGTATTCACTTGTTTTCACAATATTGTATAGTGAATACAATATTGTGAAAACAAGTGAATACATGTTTTCTTCTATTCTGAAATGAAGTAATTGTTCCCGTCTATGATAATTGAGTATATTTTTAATTGTTCCCTAATAATATCTAAAGTAGTATAAATAATTGAAATCTTCTTATTTAAAAACAATACTGAGTAATATTAAATCGCAAAATCAAATACTAGCACTACCAAACAAAACAATTTTGGCACAAATTTTTCGAGGATTGACGTATTCACATATTTTCATGCCATTGGAATTCTAATCAGCAAACACAGTTACATACATTCAGCTATGACATAAATTTGAGCACAGATTCACTTATTCTTGCCAAATTCATGCCAAAACTAATGTATAAGTCTTTTTTCACAAATAATAGCACAGTTAAAATCGATGCTAGTTCATGACAAATTCGTGTCAAGACCGTTTTTTAAAATTAGAATATTATAATAGTTAGAACTCAGACTGTTTGCCTTTATAGTGCATACCACTGGAATTCTAATCAGCAAACACAATCGCTGCAAGGACGGTTGTGTTATAGTAAGTTTATACATGGGGGATATTTGAGAGTTAGAGTATAAAAAGATGAACTTCATGTTTTAGACCTTTCCAAATGGACTGAGAACGAGGCCTAGAGCTGTCATATGTACATGACTCAAATATGAAACTAGTGTACTAGGTTAGAGATAAAATTCTTTAATCAGGACACCTGAACTAATCAGAGGAGTTTCAGACGAGTCTTGACCCGTGTGTATTCAGATCTCCTTAGAGAAGTTACGAGTCCGCCACTTTTCTCGAAATTCTACTTCCTATATTTATTGCAGTAAAGTTCAGTATAATTATCTAGTTTCTTTGTGTGTGTTTTCGAATATGATTCGTCTATATTATGCTTGTATGTCAGACTATTAGATGGTAGTATCCCCTTTACTATAAGGGATATGCACATTTCTTTGGTCTAAACTGTGCAAGAATGCCTAACATCTCAAGTCACCATTATCTATGTTTCATTCAGTCCCATAGCATATGTACATTGGCTTTACACCTTAATCACAGGTCTAGTGAAAATGTGGTTAAGATTATCGATCTTTCGAGCATGTTCATGGGGGCCATGGTTTCAAGGAATCCCTCTGGCTTTGTATTTCAGCTTGGATTATAGAATAGATCTAGTAATGTCATGATTTTTTTAATGTAAAGTACTTTATCCATTTACTTGTTCAAAAACAAATTAACCATATACCTTATGCTCCCTCCATTGCAACAAACAAACAGTTTTTTCTTCTTCTAAAATGCAGTCCCAAAAATGTCTAATAATTTAATCGAAATTCTAAATAATGATATACTCTGCGATTTAGTGACTAGTTTGGATAGTGGTGTTTTTCCACTAAAGCGATCAATGAATTGAGTTATTCATGTCTTAATTAGAGTAACTGGTCTTTCGTCTACCTGCGCTATTTGGCATCATGAGCAACTCTTGTATTACTGAGGTATTGAAGCATGATCTTATTACAAATAACTAATTTTAGTCTCTCAAAAACTGTTCGACCTGGATAATTTAAGCTATGTTCTCTTTTGGAATGCAGATAACTAGGGCAAGAAAATTAGAGAAAAATGTGAGACAGGATTGGAATTGTGATATTTTTAGTTCATTCTCACTAAATTCTTTTTAATAATTCTTAGGTTTCATTTTGATTTATTGTCACAAAAAGGGTTTCATTTTAATCTATTCTTATGTTTATATGTACTCATCAAAGGTAAAAACTTCTAAAGGATACCACCAAGTACGAGTGCAGCTCGACTTGCGGGCCGCGATTCAGATTTTGATGTCAGGAGGTGGCCACGTCATTTTAAAGTACACGAAAAACAAATGATTTGGAAAAAGTCGTAGGAAATTTTCTGGCGTTTACAATGACATGCTTCACGGCGACAATGACACCTATAAACGACGTGAAAATCTACTCGTGACATGGAAAATCTAGTAGTGATATTAGGCTTTCCAAATATATGATTTTGTTAGTCACATTTATTAAAATTAAATGACACTTTTTCATCCATTACCTACTCTTAGTCTAATGGAGTTTAGAGCCCGTTTGGTAGCTCAAAAGTGGGCTGTTTTGGCTGATTCTGCTGAAATTTATGAAGTTCTGGCTGAAGTGGCTGCATTGGCTGATTCTTCTGATACAAGAAAAAAATATTTTTAAAATATATTTTATTAATAAACTAAAGAAAAAATTATATGTAAAAATAGCTAAAATGATCATCTACAGTAACTTCAGCCAATACAGCCAGAAAAGTAACTCCAACCTTACTTTTTCGGCTTATTACACAATTCAGCGCGCGAAAGCAAAGTTTACGTGTTTGGTAAAAAAGTTGGCTGATAAGCCTGATAAGCCGAAAATGAGGGTTGTCAAACGGCCTCTTAGTAATATTCAAGTCAAAACCTCAAAATTTACTCTCTAAAAATGGCACAAAATATAGAATCTGCTTTTAAAAGTAGCAAAGCTGTATTGGTTTGATTCGGTACCTAATTTCACATGCCCATTAATTTAAGAATCAAAATGGTGTAAATTTCCAACTATGGCCGAAAATAAGTCTCAACTATCAAGAGCCATTGAGATTTGAGAACGAAGTGTTGGGTATGAAAACAGATTTGGAGTTTTGGATTAGCAGCAAAGAAAACAAAACGGTCTCCATTTTTTGAAGGAAAAAAACACCACATAACGAAACCGATGTAGAAAACACATTGTTACCAGGCTACCAAGAGATCCAAAGCGGATTAAAATATGAAGAAATAATGTATTCTTTTTATGTGCGTATTTATTATGTAAATAAACACTAAAGATTTAAACAATATACAGAAAATCTAAAACATAAGAAAATAATTTCTAAAGTGACAAAATCAAGTCTTTCCATAACATTTTCATTTTTCAGATATCCAAACATAGCCGAAATCTTAATTTTGTCTGTGTTACACACACAAAATTTAGCTTTGAACGTCCATATTAAATCAGGTGTTTTATTGACAAACTAAAATTTCAAATGTCTTTGGCATCCTTATTGACAAACTACGTGCATTCTTATTAAATCTTCTAGTCTCAATTATGTCTTTACTAAAACAATCATCGTTGAGACTTGACATCTTAATCTGTCTTAATTTTTGCTATGGAAGAATGAGAAAACTCCCAAACTTTATTCATTTACACTCCAAATCCATAGTTTACAGGATCAAATGACATTATAATTGAAGAATAAAAATGTTGCAGGTTTCCAAATAAAGGCCGAAATATTAAAATCAGTTACTAGAACCATTGAATTTGACTGATAGATGAAATTGAAAAACAGAAGCAAAACCCTACATAACGTTTTTCCCGGTGTAAAAAGTGAAAAAAAAGATTGGACAAGCAGCAAAGAAAACAAAACGGGCCTTCATTTTTTTAAGATAAGAAACAACATAAGCGAGCAAGCAAACAACTCTAAGAAACAATAGTACCAAAAGACCCCTCCCCCCAACAAAAACTTATTCAACATATCGTAGATGGTCTCTCTTGTTCAGAGACCTCACCTTCTAGTATCCCAACACCTCAACATGTCCCCAACAACAAAGAGAACTTCTGTTTCTGATCGGATAAAAAAACACTCCCTTCTTGAACCCGGGAGACGTCTCTACTTAGTACCTGTACTGAGCAGGCTTGTAAGGACCCTCAACTGGAACACTGATATACGCAGCTTGCTCAGGTGTGAGTTTAGTAAGCTTAGCACCAAGCTTCCCAAGATGAAGGGCTGCAACCTTCTCATCAAGATGCTTTGGCAAGACATAGACCTTCTTCTCATACTTCCCTGTGGCTCTCTCCTTCCACAACTCAAGCTGGGCAATCACTTGGTTAGTAAACGAGCACGACATGACAAAGCTGGGGTGTCCAGTGGCACAACCCAAGTTCATGAGACGACCCTCTGCCAAAATAAGCACACCTTTTCCTGTTTCAGGGAAGACAAATCGGTCTGTTTGGGGCTTAATGGTAATTCTCTTAATCCCCGGGTAGGTTTCGAGCCCTAGCATGTCAATTTCATTGTCAAAGTGACCAATGTTGCAAACAATGGCATTGTTCTTCATCTTCTTCATGTCCCCCACCATGATGATGTCCTTGTTCCCAGTGGTGGTGACAAAGATATCAGCTTCAGCAACTACATCCTCTAGAGGAAGAACCTGGATGCCCTCCATAGTGGCCTGTAGAGCACAGATTGGGTCAATCTCAGTCACGATCACACGGGCACCTGCCTGCTTCATGGCTGCAGCACAACCCTTGCCCACATCTCCATATCCACATACCACTGCAACCTTGCCGGCAATCATGACATCAGTGGCTCTCATCAAACCATCTGGTAGAGAGTGGCGGCATCCGTACAGGTTGTCAAACTGTTCAACAAAGTCACCAACTTCATTATTCATTTAAATGTGTACTACAATAATAATAGCATACATCCAACAACATAAAAGTTCACATTATAATGGAATTATTGGATTCTACAATTTAAAATAAGGTTACACAATTAAACATGATGATTGATGAAGCATACCTGCATCAGAATATAAACAAAACCTACCCAGCCAGTAGAGTATTTAAAACAAATTTTAAGAACCAAATAAACAAGTTATACGGTGGAACATCAAGTGCCTCTATTAGATTTACGATTTAGGCACACTTCACCTGATCTTTCCTCGTGTAAACTAATACTCTGTATCAAATTAAAAGCAATCAAAATTACAGCATGCATAAATATACTCATGCCAATCAAAAAATCACATATTACATCCCATTTTCACTTTGCATAAGAAACATTGTTAGCTTTGACAGTTATCTATAGCATGACAATAATGTTGAACAATTTATTACTCGTACAATATAGTATCAGATCTAGACCTAGAGGTAGCGAGATCAAGCAAGATTGGGAATAGGGATGATCTATCATGGTTGTATGCGATCTAGAAAATAATAAATGGTAAGAAGTAAATATATACCTTGCTCTTGGTAACAGAGTCGTTGACATTGATCGCAGGGAATAGAAGAGTTCCATTTTCCTGCATCTGATAAAGCCTCTTGACACCAGTGGTGGTCTCCTCAGACACACCAACAAGTCTCTCCTTCATCTTGGTGTACTTCGTTGGATCCACCTTGAGCCCGTCCCTGATGATTGTGAGCACGATCTGGAACTCCGCATTGTCGGTGGAAGCCGGATCGGGTAGGGTTCCATTTTTAGCGTACAGCTCCTCGGCCTTAACACCCTCATGGATCAATAGGGTTGCATCACCACCGTCATCCACAATGAGATCCGGTCCACCACCGGGGCCCCAGTCGAGGGCCCTCTCAGTGCACCACCAGTACTCCTGGAGTGTCTCTCCCTTCCAGGCGAACACGGCGGCGCTGTCACGTGCGATGGCCGCAGCAGCGTGGTCCTGGGTGGAGAAGATGTTGCAGGAGCACCATCTGACTTCGGCGCCAAGGGCCGTGAGTGTCTCGATCAACACGGCAGTTTGGATAGTCATATGCAGACTGCCGGTGATCTTGGCACCCTTGAATGGCTGGGAAGGTCCGAATTCGGCCCTGGAAGCCATGAGACCGGGCATTTCAACCTCGGCAAGCTCAATCTCGAGCCGGCCAAAGTCGGCCTGAGACATGTCCTTGACCTTGTACTCGCGGCCGGATGTGGTTTTCTCGACGAGCAAAGCCATGGCTAGAGAAATGGAGAGAGACAGAGCAGGGAATGTTCAGATCTAGGCCTCTCTTCTTTGGGTTTCGAAAGAAGCGAGTGTGCAAGGAAGAAATGGCAGAGGAGAGTGATATAAATAGGTTTAAAGAGCGAAATGGACGATCAGGATTGGTATGAGATCTGGGATCGGCGATGTTGGTTGGTGGATTTTGGATCTCTCGACGCCTCCCTCCACCCGAGAAATGGTAAAACAGATAATATTGTTATTAATTAATTGCATTTTATGCTTACAATTTTTTTCTTCGCAAATCTTTCTCTTGCATCGCCTTAGCTTGTTTGATAATTCTATTTTTCAGCTGAACAGTTTTATCAGACAATTTTAAATCAAACACGTAATTTATTATTTCACGTATTGAATTATCTTTATCTTTATTTTATCTTTATATACTTAAGAGCACTACATAGGAGAGAGAAGAATTCTCCCACCTCACCTATGGGCTAAAATGTAATTTCGCCCACACCATTCCTACGCTCACCATTTCTCTTCTCCGCTGAGTTTCGCCGCTCACCATGCCTTGTCCTCTCTTCTTTCTTCATAGAATTTTCCATACGATTTTCGCGGATCCCTTCACCACCTTCTCTTCGACATTCTAAGCATTTGATTGAACAGCTCCAGGAGTTCTGATTCTCTGAGCCGCATAGAAGATGAAGTCACCCGGCCAGCCACTCATATGGATCGATAGATCTATATTGGCTTTTCCGTCTCCATTCCCACCCACCACCTCCTCCATCCACACCGATCTATCATGTCTCCGGATTTGGTCACTGAAGCGATTGTCTCGCATCACACCGAGATATTCAAAGCAGGTCGATTTTTTCCTTCAAGCGAGATTGAATCATTTCTGTTCAATTTTAATTCTTAAATGTCTTATCAATAGATGTATTTTTACTCTGGGTTAGTTGATTTTGATTGAGCTTGGTAATGGCAAGATGAGAAAACTAAAGATGCAGTTCTTTAAATCTTTTTCTTTAATCCATTCAATCTCTTCTTTACTTATGACCTCATTATATACTAATGGCATGAAATGAAAGATAGAGCTAAGAGTCAAGAGTATGTATATATAGTTAATCAATTGTTTGTATATTTGCAGAGTTGCAAAGGAGTTTGTTGTAGCACTATCTTGCTAAAAATTCCAATATAATAGCTTACTTTCTGGAGGATATTCAACTCCGATTATGATGGTATTTAGGTTTCAAGCAATTCATGTTGGTGATAGCACTATATATTCCATCTAGACAATATTCTTTGTTAAGTAATATTCAACAAAAGTATCAATAGATAAATCATAGTCATCATCTTTTAGTTTTGAATTAGCCGTGAGGTTGTAAGAACTTCCTAATGCATAGCTTCTCTTCTAAATCTGAGTATGCCCAGATTAGTTTTGGAACCATAGAATTTTAACACATCGTAAATTGTTATATTTTTCGGGTATGTTCAAATATAGACATGATACAGATCCAAAAAAATTTAGGATGTGTTAAATTTTTTCTGGACATGCTTAATACATCCTAATATTATTAACTGTATAATACATCTAAATCTGAGTATGCCCAACATAAAGTTTCTTTCTTTTCTATACCTGTAATATATACTCCATTTTTCTTTCTCTTATATACAGTTTGGTTGCCTTTTACTCTATAATCAGTAGAATACTATTTAATTAAAGAAAGAAACTTTTGATGAAAATTCCCCTGTGAATGTCATACCATTATTATAGGTCTTGGAGTTTCCTTCTGAAATTATAATTTTGATTTTGATTGAGCTTGGTAATGGCAAGATGAGAAAACTAAAGATGGAGTTCTTTAAATCTTTTTCTTTAATCCATTCAATCTCTTCTTTACTTATGACCTCATAATATACTTGATGGAGTATATGGTCGAGGGACCCCCGACCCATAGACTCCAACTACCATAACCAAGGCCCAATAAGCCCAGGAAGCACAGCAGGCCCAAATCACAGCGCCCCAAGTGCTAAGCAGCCCACGACGTACACTTTGGGTGCCTTCGGCCCCCATGGACGAAGGCTCGTAAACTTACAGTACAACTGATTTTAAGCACTCGAAGTTACTAGGCGAAAACGGTAGCCCTCGGCACTTGGAGCCCTCGGTACCTAAAGGCCCCCGGGATGAAGAGCCTTCGGCTAATCATCTACAGCCGAAGGCGCCTCCTCGACAGAATCTCCCACCCACATGCGCTAGATCAACGTATCAAGTACAAGCGTCGCATCCAACCACCGCATTTAATGCGGCCACATGCGAGTGTCAGTGCCGCCCCGTTGAGGTGACCCCTCGACCACCAGAATGATGACACGTGTCCCTATGTAGCATTTATTGCTGCTAAAAATAGCACCCCTTTCCCCATTTGTAAACCACGCTGAATACACTCTAAAGCAATACTACTCTCTCTTACTTGTTTGCTCTGGCTTCTCTCTAGTTACTCCCCACGGTGACCCCTCGGATAGATACCCCTCGGGTACACTATCCATCATTCGGTGCTCTCGTTGAGAGATCGAACAATCAAGTAAGAAACCCTCCCCTTCAGCTAAAAACACCTATCAAAATGGGAAGAAACAGCCGTGCCCAATCCAAGACTCATGAGGACAGGAACTTGGCCCTCGATGAAGTCGACGTCCCCGAAGCCTCTAACAGGGCTCCCGAGGGCGGCGTCATCGCCGGGTTGGACCAGACGGCTGTCGACCTACGCCTTCAGCTCCAACAAAATGCCCCCGATGCCCGCCTTGGCATCGAGGCTAGAAAGAAGGACCAGAGCGAAAACCAAGTGAGCCCTCCAGTCCTTACTATTGACGTGGAATCAGCGTTCTCCGCCTTCATCCAGACACTCACTCAGAACTCGGGTGCCTTCGGCACTCTGGTGCCTCTTCAACCACATGTCGGGGAGAACGCCATACCGTTCCCACCACCACTCCCCCTCGCGAAACCTATCCTTCGGATTGGGAACGACGAGGGGGTTGTGGCCCAGGACACCGCCTCTCAGGAGGTCCAATCCCGGGACCGCCACGGCGCAAACAAAGAAAGGCCCCGGACCTCCACCCTTGAGAGGCTCGGAGGGGCGCAAGACCGCCTCGGGGGGAAGGCGTTCCAAAGACCTCAGGAAAGTGGTGGATCCGTCTCCAGGGCAGACAAAAGACGTCCTCTTCAGGACAAAGGCAAGGCCCCACTCCATGCCGATGACGCCCGGCACCAGATCAATCGGGCCCACTCGGCCTGTGTTCGTTCGCAGGGGGCGGAGGACCTCCCGAAGGATCCCAGGGACGAGATCATTGCGGCCCTCCAGCGCCGGCTTGAAGAGATGGAGGCCCATCGAGCGCATACCGCCGCCGCCACCCCTCATGTAGATCCCAAATATGAGGCCATGATGGCCAAAATGGAAGAGATGCAAAAGAAAATAGCTGAGGGCTCCGGGGAACCCGTCATCCAGCTCCAGACTAGGACGCCATTTACCCCAAGGGTATTGGCGGCCCACATTCCGGAAAAATATCGGTGGCAACCCATCAAGCCCTATGTAACACCCCGGGGCCCCACACGGACCCGAGGTAGTTACTCTAGACCTCTAGTACTGTCCCCACAAACCACCACGAGCCTTTACTGCGCACTTTGTCCTCACTCATGCGCGCCCTGAGAAACTTCTCAGGGGGTCACCCATCCCAAGACTAGTCCCGTGCAAGCACGCTTAACTTTGGAGTTCTTGGGTGATGAGCTCCCTTAAAAGGAGATGCACCTCTGTTGGTATGAGTAGTATTATTAATCCGTTTATATTAAATCTCAAGTGTTACAATCACCCCCCACTTAGGATCGCAACGTCCTCGTTGCGTCCTTGAACCAATCTCAAATCTCAATCAAATCATATCCCAGAATCTTCCCCCGCTAGGTGCCCGCCCGATATCCAACGGGTCATCACACTGTCGCGGGGTTGCTCTGATACCACCTGTAACACCCCGGGGCCCCACACGGACCCGAGGTAGTTACTCTAGACCTCTAGTACTGTCCCCACAAACCACCACGAGCCTTTACCGCGCACTTTGTCCTCACTCATGCGCGCCCTGAGAAACTTCCCAGGGGGTCACCCATCCCAAGACTACTCCCGTGCAAGCACGCTTAACTTTGGAGTTCTTGGGTGATGAGCTCCCTTAAAAGGAGATGCACCTCTTTTGGTATGAGTAGTACTATTAATCCGTTTATATTAAATCTCAAGTGTTACACCCTATGAAGGAAACATTATAGCCGATATCAAAACAGTATGATGATGGTGGGGGCATCGGACGAATATTTGTGCCGCTGGTTCCT